GTATTCCAGAACACTTAATTGTGCTTGTGAGAAACCTGTACATAGACCAACAGGTAGTCTTTCAAACAGAACAAGGATATGTACTGAATGTTTTAAAATCAGGAAAGCTGTATGCCAGGCTTGCATCCTTTTATCATATTTATTCAATCTGTATGCTGAGAAAATAATCCAAGAAGCCAGATTATATGAAGAAGAATATGTCATCAAGATTGGAGGAAGACTTATTGACAACTTGCAATATGCTGATGACACAACCTTGCTTGCTGGAAGTAAAAAGGACTTGAATACTTACTGATGAAAATTAAAGGCTACAACCTTCACTGTGGATTGTATCTCAATATAAAAAAAAACAAAATCCTCACAACTGGACCAATAAATAACATCATGATAAACAGAGGAAAGACTGAAACTGTTAAAGATTTTGTTTTGTTTGTATCCACAATTAATGCTCATGAAAGCAGCAGCCAAGAAATCAAGTATGCAGGTAGAGACCTGGTTGGCTAGCAGTATGGCAAGACCTGGGAACTCCTGGACCCAGAATCAGTGACATAGCCACAGAGGACTAGAATGGAGAATGAAGCATCCAGCTGATAAGAAGAGAGGCCATATGCACAAGAACAACCACACTTGCAGATAATACCTACTTGACCTGACTTCAATGGCTGGATGATCAGAACTTGACTAGAAGAAGAAAGAAGAGGGGGAAAATAAAATTTAAAAAAAGAATAATCTGATACAATTTGATGAACTTTACCTACACCTATGGATGCAATAGCTCAAAAGTGGGAACAAATTTGTACAGCGAGGATCATTCCCACCCCCTCGGTACGCAGGGTAGACAGGGATGGGCAACTTGGACATTGGCTACCCAAAATGGGGGAGCTACAAAGGCAAGAAGTGACTGGCTTACAACTTTCAAGAGGGAACCTAGTTCCAGAGGGTGCGGGGGAAAGTAAGATCTCCACTAAGCGGTTTCCAATCTGTCTGGACGGGGCTGATGAAAGGAGCTGGAGATAGCACTCATATGGTACAATAGTAAGTAATTGCTTTCAGGACTGACTGTGAGGGTTGGAAAGGTAGCCAAAACAAAACAAAACAAAAAACCAGAAACAGCAGTTTTTCTGTGTGTGCTCATCATAGTAGACACATAAAACACTTTAAAATCACTTATACTCACAGTTGTGACTAAGAACCCAAGTATTCACTTGATTGTCCAGGATTCCTAGCCAGAACATATACTTGGATATCCACTGTCTTCATTTTCCTGCTTATATAAAAATCTCAGTCAGAAATAAACTTTGCTAAAGCAAAAAAAAAAAAAGATCAACTACGTTTCATTAGGCAAACCTGTTGCAAAACACCTCGTTAAAGTCTTAAAGGGCAAAGATGTCACTTTGAAGACTAAGGTGTGCCCGACCCAAGCTATGGTATTTTCATTTGAACTCATATTTATGTCAAATTTGAATTATGGTGTTAGTGTAGGACATTGAGAGTACCATGGACTGCCAGAAGAACACATAAATTGTTACAAGAGAAGTACAGCCAGAATGCTTTTTAGAAGTCAGGATGACAAGACTTTGTCTCCCTTACTTTGGACATGATGTTAGGAGGGACCAGTTCCTGGAGAAGGACATCATGCTTGGAGAAGTGGAAGGTCAGCGAAAAAGAGGAAGACCTCTAAGGAGGTGGATTTACACTGGCAGGAACAATGGACTTAAACATAACAACTGTGAGCATTGTGCAGGACCAGGACCAGGCAGTGTTTCATTCTGTTGTGCATAAGATCAGTGAGTTAGAACCACCTTGAGGGCAAGAGGCAGTAGTCTCCGTATGCAAGCCACAATGTCTTTATCTGATCATTTAACCTTACAGTGCTTCAAGCCAATATTTGTATTGAGATCCTAATAATATTCCTGATTATGATAACAAACAAGCTTCCATAGTTGCCTTTATATCTTGCTTACTTCTCTCTGTTAAATCATGGAGATCACCCTAGTTTCAGTAAGTTGAGTAAAAGACAGCTTGGCTCTGTATCTATTTGGTAAGGAAGTAACCGTATAAATGTAACTAAATAAAAGGCTGGGCAGAAAGCAAATACCAAAAAGTTTAAGGAGATTACAGTAAAAATCCAAACATGGAAGCTATATAATAGATAATTAAAGGTGGTACCGGTCAAAGTACAGTAACCCTAACCATAAAGAACATGTCAACGAATGCAAACAGTTAAGTTCAATTGTTTCTGTAACAGTTTAAGGAAATTACTCACCATTCTGCTATTAAAAAAACAAAGTTATTGGTTGTTGCTTTTTTGGGGGAGGGGAGGGGCTATCAATTCAGCTTTTTATAAGTGGATGACTTATTAACAGCAACTACATAAATTGGCTGTGCAATACTACCCTTAACCATGCAAGTTTCCATCACTGTAAACCCAAACTCCACGGGACATGTTATTCCCCTCCCTTTTTCCCTACCCCCCCACCGCTAGTAAACAGTAATAAACTTTGGTCTCTGTACTTGTGCCTGTCCTTATGTTTTTATGTAAGTGAGGTCATACAATATTAATCTTTTGTTGAATGACTTATTTCACTAAGCATATTGTCTTCAAACTCCACTCACAGTAGTGTTGTTATTAAGTGCCATCCAGTCAGTTCTGACTCATAGTGACCATATACAGAGTTTCTTAGGAGCAGCTGGTGGGTTTGAACTGCTGACCGTGTGGTCTACTAGGTCTACTACATTGTTATGTGTTGTTATGTGCTGTGGGATCAGTTTCAACTCCTAGCAACCCTGTATAAGGTTTCCGAGGCTTCAAATCTTTGTGTTAGCACAAAGCCCAATCTTTCTTCCACAGAATGGCTAGCAGGCTCAAACCGCAGACCTTGTGTTTGCAGTGTAGAGCTTATTGTATTGTATTGTATTGCATTGTAGTGCTGTTTTAATCCCATTCTTTCTATGGTGTAAGATTATTAAAGATAGCCAGAAGGTTATATTTCATCATTGAAAAACTCAAAATATGGGGAGAAAACAAATTTTAGTCAAGACTAGGAGTGTTAAATATGAGTCATAATCAAAGGAAATACAAGTACAGAAGGAAAACAAGTTTGGCAGAGAAAATGAGTTTGGTCCGTTATAGCTGAAATGGGGCTGAATTTCAGAGATTGTGTCCAATCTGTGGTTAGAAATCTCTAAAGATGGGTGGTGTGTGGGATGCTCTGAAGGTTCCAGGAACACATGAGCTTACCATTTGGCCTACCTCACATTATTCAGATTCTCTTGTACTCACCTGGCACCTTCTGATACTGTCTGACTTCTCAAGTTAGATTTGGTCTTTTATTCAGTTGGCTTGTCTCCTCGCAGCCCTAATTTGCTAACTCCAAATTGTGGCTTACCAGTCATTATTTTCTGTGTTTAGGAATCCTGCAGAACTAAATCAGGGTTGATGGACAGGATAAAATCAGATGCCTGAAAATAAAGTTTAGGATCAGCTATAACTGCCCTACCTCCTTCAGGTACAATACCTTGACATCTTGCCTTATAAGCCAGCCAGCCTATTTTTATTTTACCTTGTGAAAACTGCTTGGTCACATTTATTTATTAATTTGAATCTTAATATACCCACAGAAAACATAATATAAGTAAAAGTAAGTTAATAATAAAGGAAAAGGAATCAAACTGATTTTAAAGTAAAATGCATATGAATCAGATCATTGTTTCCATTAATTAAAATAATGAATCAATAATCAACATGTAATAAAGGCATATTTGTTTCAAAAACTAAGAAAATATAAATAGCCCAAAAGCAATAAAGTAAAAGAAAAATAAATGTATTATATCTTGCAAATAATAATCACTATTGGCATTTAGAATTACATCTTTTCAAATGTCTTTTTCTCACTGAATAATATATAATCTTTCTATTTCAATAAAAATAAATCTTTTAATTTTGAGGTATTGCATCCCATTTCATGACTATCTGCTAATTCTTCATAGTGTTACATTATTATAAATACCATTTCTACCCTTGTATATCTTCCTACTTTCTCATCATTTTTTGGAAAAATTCCTAGAAATCATCCTGAGGGTCCAATACAAATATGGAAGAAGAGGTGCATACATCTATGTGTGTAGCTGGTAGACCCCACCATAATGTACCAAGTTAACACCATCTTTTAACTACATGTATAAAAGTCACGAAAATTTAGAAATAGGTCTGCTTGAAGTTTATATTTAAAGTACACCATCTATGGAAACTTGATTTAAAAGTATATTCATATTATAAATAACATTTAACCTACATAGAAAACAAATTATAAAACACATTAGTAAAAGTTACTTGTGCAGAAAAAAATATGTTAACTGTAATTAACGTGGAGTCCTTCCTTGCGTGGCGAAGTAGGATAAGCACTGCACTGCTTAGTACACAGTTCAAACCCACCAGCTGCTCCTAGGAAACAATATAGTGTAGCTATGAACTAGCACTTACTAACAAGAATAAGCTATTAAAGCAGGTTTTTCTGGATACCATTATCATTGAGTTAGTATTAGAAGTTGGCAAGAGAGCAATAAAACAACTCTAAAATAGAGCTGTTAGTATTTCATGAGCTTTAATACAGGGGCCCAAAGTGGTGTAAACAGTTAAGCAGTAGACTAGTGGCCAAATGGTTGACAGTTTGAACCTACACCTTGGAAAACAGGCCAGGCTATCTACTTCTGAAAGGTCACAACCCTGAAAACTAGATGGAGCAGTTTTACTCTGCAAACATGGGATCACCATGAGTTAGAATCATTCTACCACAACCATCAGTAATAATAATAATATGGGGTCCTAAACACAACTGCCTAGGGAATCATGCACATATGGCAAAAGAATGAAGTGTGAACTCTGTAAAGATTAATTTAATGAAACGTGTTACACAAAAAGAATTGTTTAATTTTTTATTGCAGTTTTGACAGTGAATATAAATGAGAACCCAATAAACAGCCACACAACCAATGCAATGTGCCAGGCCCATAAAATTAACTATGTGTCATCATTCATAATTGGGTACCATCTACTTTTACAATGTTAATTTTAACTAGGTTTCATCAACAGCTCTAGTTAAGTTCACTTTGACTCCGTGGGTGGTTTTAGTGTGGCCCCCACGGAGACCAGCTATGTAAATCTGGGGCTTAGGCACTCGAGTGCTGCTTTCTCGCATGGACTGAGTACTAGCGTCCTTTGAAGGGTACGCCTGTGAAAAATTGTCTCTTCTCATGTGACTCAGATCAGTTTGCACTGAATGAGTAATTTTCTGACGCAAATTGGCCTAAGTAGAAAGAAAATACATATGAATAAGCATTTCCCTAAAGCACAAATAGTATAAAATATTATCAGGTACATGCTAATATCTAAATAATTTATCCAGTAGGCAGTTAGTCCTATAACATAGCATATGACACATGCTAGCATATAACACTTGGAGCCCTGGTATAGTGCTGTGGGTTAATGCACCAGACTGCAAAGCTGGTTTGAATTGCAAGGTCGGTGGTTTACACTTACCAGCTGTTCCTCGGAAATCCTATAGAGGGTCACTATGGGTCAGAACCAAATTGACGGCACTTAACAGCAATAACAAAAGCATATAATGCTTAAGGAAAATAAGAACATTAGAAACATCTAGAATCTGGAAAATGAAATATTCTTTACTGAGAAGTACAAAAATATATATATAAATTTGCATACTGATAGGAAGTTACAATTAACGCATTTGTTTGTTAATATGATCTTCTATTTCCTTTATTACTCTAAGACTCATCCAAGCTGACTTTCTTCATCTTTGATGTTATTGTTGTTAAGTGTTGTCAAGTTGGTTCTGACTCACAGTAACCTTCTATAGGGTTTCCAAGGATTGAGTGGTGGGTTTAAACCACCAACATTGCATTTAGCAGTTCCATGTTTATTCTATGGTGCCACACTAAGACTCCTTTTTCATTTTATTACATTTATTTTTAAAAATGAAATCCAATATTTACACTGGTTTTTTAAGGAGCTCTGGTAGCGTACTGGTTACAAATCGGGCTGCAAACTACACGGTCAACAATTCGAAACCACCAGCTGTCCTGCAGGGAAAAAAAAATGAGGCTTTCTGCTCCCGTAAAGATTTACAGCCTTGGAAACCCTGTACAGGGTCACTATGAGTGGGAACCAACTCCACAGCACATAACCATATTGTTTTTTAAATAATGGACTTCATTGCAGATTTTGAAAATAAAAAGTTCCGATATGTTCAGATTATGTTTTTACCTTCTACATGTTCCTTACTCTCTTTATGGATTATTAGTAAGCATGAGATTGAAATAGATCACTTAGGCTGAGTAGCAAGGTGGACTTATACAAAGGACACAAGGAAGTTGATGATGAAGGCCTAGGAAAAATGCATGAGGAGTTAGAGCATGTGAGTAAAGGAGAGACCTGGACTAAGAGAAAGTATTTTAGAGTCTGAGATATTGTAGGATTTTAAGAACTGATACATCATACACTATATTTTCCACACTGATATGATTTTACTATCCTGCTACCTGTATTAGCTTAACTTTAAAATGATAATTATTGTAGGATATCTTTGCCCAGGCAAATATCTTGATTTACACAGTAAATGTCTAAAACATCTATCAACTCTTCAATGGTAAGCATCAACAATTTATAACTAAGAGTCTTCAAATTCACTGCCACAACATCTTCACATTGCTTTTTCCACAATTCCTTGATTGTTTTTTCAAGATCATTACCCAATTCTTTTCAAATCTCCACTTCACCCCCACTCCCTGCATTTCAAAACCTGCTTTAAACCAAACTACAAACTCTAAATAATTCCATCCATTCAAAAGAAGATGAAAGTAATACACAGAGTCACTGTACCAGAAAGAGATGGTCGATTTTCAATCATTTGAAGAAGTAGCATATGATCAAGAACCAGTGATCCGGAAGGAACAAGTCCAA